ACCTTACCTGTCTTCAGTAGCTCACTCAATGGAAGTAGGTCACTCAAAACACTTCGGAATCTCAATTTTTTCTCAAATTAAAAAAGGCATTTTTTGTCGGAAACAGCAGTGAATAAAATACCTTTTTCTGTGGGCTACTAACCATTGAAAACCTTGAAAAAAAAAACTATTTTTGACATTTGATGCAATCTCTCTCATTTGTCATTATCCTACTGAGGCGAATGAGTTGACCTCTAGCAACAATTCATACACAAAAAGGTGCTCAAGGTTGGAAGGTGCTAAAGGTTAACTCATTTGACTCAATAGGAGAAATAAAATTCAAAAGCAGGTAGAGATGTAGCGTGCTCACATATTCGTAAGTCGCTTTAAGGAAGGCTACTGGGGACAATCGTCAACTTGCTAAGGAGTCAGAAACTCAGATTCCCTGAGATTTGAGGTTTTTTGATGCTAAACACGAATATCATACTCATTTGTAGAATCAACGCCCCTTTTTTGATTAAGATGAGACTTCATACCGTAAAACTTACAGTAATTTTACAGAAAAGGCCTTTGCCACGTAACTTCAGTATTGATTATTTTCGTGATCAGCATGTCGAATAATCCCCCCCCCTCTCTATGCCAAGTTTCAGCGAAGTTTGTAAATTAATTTCTTGAATTTTTTCTTATACTGTATACAGTCCGTGTCAACCACGTGCTCCCTTTTCCGTAAATGCAGTGAGCTTCGCGCCACGCTCGCGCGCGTATGACGCAAGCATTCAAGTGGGCATTATCGATTGGAGGTCCGCATGCAGGACCCTTGCGTTGCGCATGCGTAGTTCCCATGCGAAAGGGAGTACGTAACTGACATCGACTGTACTCTGTTCACCTACCGTAATCTTCACTGCGACGTCAAAATTTGACAGAACAGCAGCTGCGCGTGTAGCCTACGTCATAACCCACATAAATGCAAAATCTGAGTTTGCCATGTCAAGGAGAGGAGAGATATTGATAAAGTTGCAAATTAGTTTTAGTTTAACTTAATAAACACCACTTGCGAATTCTTTTCGCTGAAAAGTACCTTGCTTCAAGATGTCGTGTATTTATGAACAATGAAAATAGGCATTCTCCATATGTGGAATAGCAAGTAAATATGTTGATTGAGAAGTCAATTTATTCGATATCATATGTAGATCACACAGGCAGTAGCTAAAGTACGCGAACTCTTTACCAAATCCACAACCTCTGAATCTCAGGGCGCCCTATAGTTATGAAACGTGCTGCACCGCGCCAACTGTTTGATGCTTCAGAAATTGCAGCATTTGATTCGACTGGCTTGGCTTTGGGCAGACGGGGCTTTGTGACCTAACTAAGTCTAAGTGAATGACCAGAGAGCACTCGCGCGAGAAACGCAGGTGCGTCGCGGGCGCGAGCAGCCATAATTAGGTCACAATACCCCTCCTTCCCGAAGCCAAGCCAGTTGAATCAAAGGTTAATTTATTGATTGTGCAATCTGCGTTAGTCTTTCCACCAAACCATGGATAAGGTGTGTGAACACAGCTGCACTTTTGTCGAGCATGCTCTTGCTACATAATTATTAGGTTGTAAAGAAAGTTCCCACTTGCGAAAAATTTTTTCAAAGCGCTGTAACTTCAAGCAGATTGATTCTTTCTTGAAGCTACAAACTTCATTGCAAAGACAATTTTGTCCACAACATAAATTTGTCTTGCTGGTTTCTCAGCACCTCACTGCGTCCACCAGCATGCGCAGAAGGGGAAGAGGTCGACGCGAAAAGTGGCCTATTTGTGCAGGATTATCTCAGGCGTGATGAGAGCTGGAGAGCCCAGATGCTGTAGTTATATAGAGGTCTGCTGGAGCTGTTATGGGGAAGATTCATGTTCTTGAAGGATCTGCTGCAAAACAATTTTCCCCAGAAAGTCTGAAAAATCGACCATTTTTCACCCCCAAAAATGCGCATTTTTCGAGTAAGGCTCCCGCCAGAGTGCCGAAGTTATGCCAGCGCTACGTCAGCATTTCGATCGATACACGTGTATTTCGTTGGGGCGGGGCTAGCTGACGTCCCCAACGAAATACATGTGTATCGATCGAAATGCTGGCGTAGCGCTGGCATAACTTCGGCACTCTGGCGGGAACCTAAGTGACTTTGAAGTCTTCTAGTTCTGCACAAGGACCAAATTTTTGAATACTGGAAACATTGTTGGGATAATGCCTTGCACATCTTTTGGACCCATCATCCAGGCGTGGCGATCCCGCGACAGCGACGCCTGCTGAGAAGAGAGTTGTAGTCAGAGGCAAGTTTAACAGCTTGTAATTTCTGAGCGCAAATCGCAAAACTCGAGTACACCGGCGGGTTAGAACTAACAGGCTTCACAATCAGATCACCCATGATTTGGACGAGATCTTTTGAAATGCACAAAAAAATGGCCATAGGAAGAAAAATTGTGAAACTTTTGTGATTGGAAAGATTACTCTTCTTGACGTGCAGATCAAACTCTTCTTGGCATCAATAAAAGTAGAAGGCTTGCTGAAAACTTCAGACTTCTCTCTACTGATATAAAAAACGCGGTGCCAAGTCCGACCGAGCTCCGAAAAAATGCATTTGTAAATGAAGTTTCAAAAACTGCCCGGGCACTTTCTTTACAACCACAATGAAGAGAATAGAAATTATGAAGTCAGTTCATTGTACCGCTAGCTCGATATCGGCGATATAATAATCTGCTGCAACTTGCCCACTATCCTTCGATGCTTGCTTATTTGATTTCATGAGACTACCATTTTATCTAATCAAAATTTCCAAATGAAACAGTGTGCCGCTTTTAAACTTTACCTACGATTTTTTCGAATGAAGAAGAACGTTGACATTACTCAAGCAGTGTGTACTGCTTCACTCTCTTTTTGAAACATTTCGAGGAGTTTCTCAAATTATTCGCAATTCCCTTAAATTCTAATCACAAAAATGTGAGCATGACCTTTGACTCATGACCGAAGGGGAATGTTTTACAGAATCAATATTATTTCTTACAAAATTTTCGGCTTTACTTCAGTTATTCAAAACAAAAACAGCTAGCTATACACAAATTTAAGATCATCTCAAATAATGCATATGCTGACAATATCAAAACCGAATCTGTAATATTATCAGTTGAATTTGAGGTTGAGGTATTTGTTGCAAAGCTGTTATGAAAACAGGTAGCAGTTTTCTGAGGACCGGTCGTTACTTCCTTGTTCGACTCTCATTAAACATATGCAACTTTGAAGACCACCAAGGTCTACAACTACTTTTCAATATTGTTATTTTTTCATGCAAGCCTGTGTTGCTGATGGCAAATCATGTGAACTTTGAAGACCAGAAGCTTTCGCTGCTGAATTGATCGCAACTCTCATAAAGCAATAGTGAAAACCATCTACCGACTACCATCTACCAACTACCAACTTTGGATGTATGGCGTAATGTTTGAGAGGCTCGCTATCTTCATAAGGCCAAGGTTCAATACTACGTTATTAGAGGGATTCGTTACTAAAGAACAAAAGAACTTTCAGTTTTCCAACAGGGCAAAAACCGATGTTAGAGCAATCTAAAAAGACACTCCTCTGGTGTTCAATAATGTCTAGCCACTAGCCAATATGAAGGCTCAGTAATATAATTTTTGGTGTAACACCAACAGCCGCTAAGCGCAGTTTATATTCTTTCCTGAAGTTATTGTTTAACTCTTATTGTTCATTTGCAACCAGTTAATATAATGTCACGTATTGTATTGTCGCGTCAAGCATCATGGATAAAGCGGGCATATGAGGGAACAAAATCGATGTGAAGAAATCTTTAATTTTGCGCAAGCAAAATGCTGACAAGGAAAGGATATTAACGTAGACTTGCCGAAAGGTTAATAACGTAGATTTGCCTTTTGAGATGAGACACATATATTTGAGATCAACGTGGAATGCTGATTCCTAATATGCTGTTCCCAGCTGCTTAGCATCAATCTGAAGCGAGTTATGGTCTCTTTTCTACGCAAAGTTTGCCTGCTCCTCTCTACGGGGTCGACGTCTAGTTAGTTCTGCAGCTGTATATGCTTTCTTTCAAGGTCAAAAGAATTGATCTGATGCTAGTTCAACATCCTAAATTTTATCACGTGCTTTGTCATCTGTTCAAGGCTGTAATTATCGGCCTTCAGAGCACCATAGAACTGCAGTGTCCGCTTACGTTTCTCAGTTTGCACTAAAACATTGTTCTTTCTAAACGAGCACGGTTTTTTTTTCAAGGACGCTGGAAGCTGTTGTGACCAGAGATCACTTAAATTAAAATATATTAAGGTGTCTCATAACTTTTTACCATTTCTACTACAACCGTCGCCTTTCTACATTTCTCCTTTACCCGATGTGGCTTGAGTAATCATTCGATAGAGCAAAGCAAACTCTACAAGAAGGCTATCAAAAGCCCAAGTTCTCCACTGAAAATTTTGAGCAGAAATATGATAGCAGTCGAAAACGAACTTAACCGTCAAAAATCGTATCCTTGCCCCTAAAGGATATTGAAAATTGCCCATTGTATGCCTGACACATCGAACATTAATTGTAAAATTTCTGTGTTTTTTCATGGCTAGAAATAAAGAAGAAAATGAATGGAGTAAAAGGCAAACTGCACCCTTAGACTTTTGAGATCCTGCTACGCATATGTGTAGCCTATACGTACAAAAGTGTTCATGTATTTGCACCCTTTATAGGTGTCACAGTCCTAGAAATGCTGATGTCTAAGGTAAAAACGATAAAACTCATGATACATCTAAAAGAAGGAAAACAAGTGCCGTTCTAGAAAATCTTTATGCTAGAGACTAAAATTCGAAGAGCGCATCAACAAACCATACTGTGCGAAGTAGTAACTGTGCAACTTTTTGAGAAATACTTTGTCCTATAAATGCGAAGCATGCGAAGCATATCTACTAAGTGTGCTTGTATTGTATTAGTCGATATTTATCAACATCGCTCGATTGTGACCAGCTCCCAGAATGGAATGTACTTCGCGTGTTAGACTTATGACGGGCTTATTCAATGACTATGTACGTTGCTGCTGCTCGAACATGTGTGTATACGTGAATGCAGCGCTTTTGTCTACCATTCACTTTATGAACAGCAAAATTCACTGAGGTTCTTGTCAACTGAAAATGAAATCGTCATTGCTAATGGTGAGTTACTTCACAAACAAACCTGGCACCTTATATAGGTTTCAAAAAATTTGTAAATCATAGAACTAGGAAGCTACGCACAGGCAAACTTCATAAGTTTAAAGTAATTCACCTCATTCTAGGTGTTTCACTGCCCGTCGATTTAGTCTGTTCATATGTGCAAAGCTTTCTTGTTTTTCACCACAACTTTCGCGCAAGCCTTTTGTCTTTTCAGATCGTTTTTCTCGCTGGGACTGTTTATTCAAGGACTATCTGGAGTGTATTCAATGCATTTTTTGGTGGTGTAGATACAGATGAGGAGAATTCGAACAAGATTTCCGACGACGAAAGTCGCCATCAGTCGAATAGCGACCGAGAAAACTCTGCCGGCAAAGACGTCGGCGGTGAGGATAACAATGAGATCATGGTCGATCCCTATACTCAAGAGAAGAAACGTAAGCCCACTGATAATCGCGTTGGCTGGAGTTATCAAATAGAGGGCGATCCTAGTACTGAAGAAGGCTACAAGAAGTATTTGCAAAAAGCGCTCGAATACATCAGAAATCTCAGTAATCAAGACCACGGCCTCGGTTATGGCGGCGGCCCTGCTTACACGCAGTTGCACCAGCGTTTTGGAGAATATAATAATTACGGAGAGCTTCTTTGGGATGATGGTGAAGGAGATGATCTTGATGGTGGTGATCCAGATTATGACGGTGATTTTGATGATGCAGATTTTGATTATGATTATTGGGGTGGTCATGATGAATTGAAATGAATCTATGTTTCTATTCCGAAATTTTGAATTTTGTGCCTAATCTTTGATCGGAAAGTTCATACGTACCTAAATCTAAAAACAAGCAATTAGCCAAAAACTTGTAAAGCTTGTAGCAATATTTGAGCTATATTATTTTCATAGTCGTAAATCCCATAAGAAAGTAGTCGACTACGAGTGATTGTTATGCAAAAAATTACAGTTATGACAGTAGGATGTAAAAAATCTCGGCAAAATCGACAAAGTTTAAGAAAAACGCAAAGTCGCCGAGTTCGGCGATATCGCCGAGAATTTTCACCTTTTAGAGTCATAACTGTACTTATGAAGCTGTAATAGGAACACACTTTGTATGCAAATCATATTGTGAATGTGTGTCGCTCACCAACCCAATGTACCCATGTGAAGAGAGTTTGAAGTTTGAAAGAGTTTGATGTTATTGCAATTCGTTTTATCCACATGGAGGATCACTGCTTACAATTAGTTAAAAAGTGATAAAACACGTAGAGAAGGTCGTCTTGCAAGCTGTATTTGCAGCTGATTGTGGTGCTTATGAATGAAGCACTTGAACACATGTGCAACGATTTTGTTTATCGACACAATCTTCAACCGAAACCATGACTCAATAAGCGTGATGAACTTTTAGGCAATATTGTCGGAGTACAAAGCTATTTGTGTTAGAGCTGGACGTTTAGAAGATCAAATAATTATGCAAGGACCTTATTGACATATGTTCAGATAAGATATTGTTGTAGCTACCTCTATTATGCTTACATTTACATTTCTCGCAAAAGTCTTCGATGTTGACCAAATTTTTGAAAACAAGAGTTTTATTCCCTCGTGTTGAGATTAGTGAAAGCTTGAAAATCTCATCTGCGACGTCCTCCACTCTTTCAAAGTAAGTACATTAGCCTGCGTAGAACTGAACTTCTCCAGGTGCCTTTTACGCTTTTCCGTCTCATTACGGAAGTATTCAATGAAGCTTCATATCAAAAGAAAAAGGTTTAAAGAGCCGTGATATTTGTGATTATGTCTGAATTTTTACTCCTGGGAATGAAAATTGATCCCGGACATAACAAATAACGCAATGGAACATTGGAAAACAAAGTCTTTCTTAGCACCGCGTAAATCAACAATTTCTATTTATGACAGCAGCACTGTATTCTTTGGTTGTGGTGTCCTTTGATTTTCAAGTTCGTCACTTTTCTAGTTCTGGGATTTGGCAGAGAAGAAATGATGATTTTCGAATGGCTCCAACGTAGCGTCTTGATCTGAATTAGATTTGTGCAAACATTCAAAAATTTCCGATAAGTGGAAAAAGGCTATTAGCTCGTCATAGGGTGGCACGCGCACCATTAATCGAAAAAATAAACTAATCGAACTCACTTAAGTGCTCTTTCACTTCACTTTTCCTACTCTCCCTATTTTTGAAACACATCATACGTGGCTTGTCATACTCAATGTCTACTATTATGGTTTTTTGCAAAGCCAACCGTATATGCGGTACGAGGATAAGAAGATGTTTCTTTTGTCAAGAGCGAGCCCAGCAGAACAAGGTGTGTCCGATGTGGCACAACAGGTGTCTGATCTAACTAGACGGTAATCAAAATCTTTCAGATGTGCTTCTCGATGTTGATATCTCCCAAGTCTTCAGAAAATGAACGAACACGACGATATTGTTGTTTATGACTACACTCTATTCCAAGATTTATCAAAATTTCTTACATTAGCTTTATTACGACACCTTCGCGTTCGTTGTAAACAGAAACCTGCTGCTTTATTCAATATGCTCCAAAACTTAGCAAAAAAGTCTTATTTGAAAACATACCTTCAGCTTAGGTGTAAAAGTAACAATATTTTGCGACTTTATTGTCGTTACGTTTGTTCAAAAACAAAAGAATATTTTTTAACGGTTTGAGTAAATTATAATGCACGCTCGATAAGATCCAGAAACCATCGACCTTTTCAAGTAAACGAGTTTGGGTTTGAAAAGACTGTACAAATCCTAAATGCGCATACAATCATTTCACTTGTCTTGAGTTTAAATTTTTCGGTTCTTTTTCCGACCCTGAACCAAGAGAGATGAGAGAAAATGACAGCTATAAGCAAACATACGCAAAATTGAAAAGTCTTTGAATTTTCCATTGCTCTGGTAGCCCCCAAAGAACAATAATCACCGTGAGCTGCATCTTCGTGCAAAAATCTATCAAATGCTCAGGTAAAACCTCGGCAAAATGACCCTTTACGAACCAATTCTCTTCGGCCTAGCTTTTGTAGAATAGTGACTTCTTATTACTTTTTGGGCCTAAGTCCATGTTGCACATTTACTTGCCAAACACATCCACGATTCTGCAAAAAGTGGAAATACGAACCCAATTTTAGGTTTCAGAAGCAAAGTGGATTTCTTTGACGCGCAGTTTCTGAGAAATTCACACAACGAATCTGCGGATGCTTTTGGATATTGGACTTTCATGCTTGCAGCATGCGGTATGCAAAATTTGAGCCCAGGAGGTTGACTGGAATACGCTCTACGAATTTCGTAACACACACACACACACACACACACACACACACACACACACACACACACACACACACACACACACACACACACACACACACACACACACACAAAGTCATAACAAAGTTCGAATAACTACTCGCTTATTTTTCTTTTCCGAGGCTGCTGCCTTAAATCCTCTGAGATTTAAAAAACATGCACTGCCACTTTTAGAGCATAACATTAAGTGGTGCAGTAGCGAACAACGTTCACTGTCCTCAGAATTTCTATGTCTCTGAAAGCAATTGTATTGACAATGAACACTGTTTGCTACGAGTGCAGATGTCCATGCAAATGGTATTCATCGTTTCTGTAAAGACTGATGAAGTTCGCACTTCACTAGTCAGTACATTATCTATTGTACATGGGATCTACATTTTATTGAGATCTGAAATGATGTCGGTGTAGCGGGTAGTAGATGCAGCTAAATGCGACCACTTTGTCTCAGAGATTTGGAATTTTCTATGGAAACGAAGTGCGGTTTTTCGAATAAAAGTCGTCCCCTGTTTCTGGACTTAAGTATTTTGCACAAAGCTTATAAACGGATACATTGTTTGATAAATGGGCTTTTATGCTAGAATCAATACTTACCAGGTAACGCAAGTACGAATGTTTGTGGCAGTTTGCAAGTGGTCTTTTGTTAGCGTGCAGACCTATTTGTGTACCCTCACAAAATTTAGGAATAGTGCTGAGGTCGTCATTTCCAGCTACATTGTTTTTAACATTTAGTAGCACTTTCACATGCATAATGCAATATGAAGTAGAGATGGGAGGAAAAAAGGGGAGAACAAATTTCTTAGTTTCGCAAGTTCCAAGCCTCATTTTTCATTTCTAAATTTATGCAGACATTATGTTCAATCTTGCGTTAATCTATGCAAGATGCTTTTTCTACCGTATGGTTTGCTATTTGTTGAATGTTGTATTAACCGAACCTTGAACACCGTCAAACTGTGTTGTCAATACTTTTGTAGTTGGGTAATAGCTCGCAAATGTAGTGCATCTTCTTCAAGGGTTACAATTGTGATCCAATGGTTACAATCTTTGTTATCAACACGGTCCCGGTGCTGATCCATTTTGGACTTATGGCAGGAGAATTCATTCAAGCTATGCAGTGATAACTGATTTGTTTGCGCAGCTTACTGAAAAATACGCTTATAAACACAAATTGGTTGATGGTTCATTCAAGTAAAACCAGACTGCACTTCAACAAGCAAAATGAATAAAAGGATTTTAGCATGTTATAGAATGTTGGAATTGCATTTGAGAAAGCAAGAACATCTATTAGGTTGTTGCAAAAATAATGTCCGTTTTTCTATTTTCCGAACAACTTTTTTCCTTCATAAATTCTTTTTCGATATGGATTCTGCATATCATTGGAAAGCTTTTTTCATGTGCATTCTAACAGTTGTGAAATTGAGCTTCCATCTCATCTGTGAGAATTTCACCAGCATCTCTCACGGCTGCACTTAAAATCGAAAATTCGTTGCTTTAGTTCCCTTGGCCACAATTCAGGCGCAAATGAACGGGTTTCTTTGAAAACGAATGCTGTATTGGTTGAACATTGTTTACCTATAGCATGTTTAAGCAGATTTTTCAAAAACATCTGAACCGAGAAATCGACGCCCCGAAAAAGATACTCGCTGCTGACATTCTATGGGTCCAAAGTTTCTCACAAGTAGGGCAATCGCCTAAGCTTCGCTCACTTCTGAATGCCTGAGGTCAGGACATCTTTCCCATAATTTTTGCAGAAAAGCTTAACTATTCAGTGATGAAAAATTTCAAATTTCCGTAGTTTGGGATTTCTGGCCTGCCACAAATAGGCTCGAAAAAGTGAACAATTTTGAACTTCTATCTTTTTTTAGCAGGACTCCTTCGTTGGAGTCTTTTCTAAGCAGGAGTATACTACTGGCTTGCATCTACAAAATAAGCTGATTAGCAGTCAAAGGAACAAAACCTGAAGGGAGTTGTAATCTCTCAAAGACGAGGTTTTCAAAAGAAAAACTTCCGGTTTTTTGACGCATGATTTTCTTCCCGTTTGCGATATCAGTAGATTCAGGTGCGCATCAGATTAAGAAAGGTTTACTGCTTTATATGGTTTTGATTGCATTCAAAAATATGAAGACCTGACAAAGTTATAGCCTTTTGAAGTAAAAATTTGCAAAACGGACATTATTTTTGCAACAACCTAATATTAAAATTGAACCCTTAATTACGGGGCATGCATCTGTCAAGATGCGAAAGTAGATTTGCTGCATAAGTTGGATGGATGCAATTATTTGAAGAAATTTTACCTAAGATCACTCAACATCCTCGTAAGTTACTACCAGGGCTCGGCACGAGGTGGCTAGATGAAAATGGAAAAAACGAAGTCCCCTTGACTTTTGGTAATTTTTACGAAGTCCCCTTTGACCCTCAACCAAATTTCCTCTAAAAACCTGAAAAATTCCCCAAAATCCCCCAAAAAACGAAACGTCGACTAAAAAAAAGGTCGCCGTCGCCAATTTTCCGTGTCTCTTCGGTCACAAAAACGAAACCCCCTTTGCTTTTCGTCCCAAAAACGATATCCGGTTTGCTTGTAAGCCACCTCGTGCCGAGCCCTGGTTACTACCCCTATGAGTTACAAATACAGAATGAGAGTGCAAGAAAAAGTCATTTATAAATGTGAAGGTTACTTCCAGCCAATTTTACAAATGAAATGCACTTACATAAATTTGGAGCAAACGAGTATTTTTATTGACAGAGAAAGTTGCTCCTATTCGAACATGCCACACGCAAAAATGCTGTTGCCTCCCATTTAACAGTCACTTTATGAGCATTTAAAGCAACTGAACACTTGTACTCCTGTAAAATCAACTGAAAATGAAGCCGTCATTGCTAACAGTGAGTTACCTATAAAGCACCATTGCCATGTACATATATGAAAAAATTGCGGATTATGAGGCTAAAAAGCTGCACTCATATAGGTTTCATATGCTGAAGGTATTAGTTTGAATCATTTGCAATGTTAAGAAATTAACAAATTATTCTTTCAATATTTTCTTAATTTTAAATTTTTGACGCATGATTTTCCTCCCTTTTGCGGTTTCAGTATATGCAGGTGCATGCTAGATTAGAAAGGTTTACTGCTTTTTATGGTCTTGATTGCATTCGAAAGTATGAAGACTGTACAAAGTTATAGTCTTTCAAATTAAAACTTTGCAAAACGGACATTATTTTTGCAACAAGCTAATATTTTGTCACCCTTACATGCACAGTTTTTGCACATTTCAGTATTTGTAAGATCTTAGTCTTTTGAGGTAATCTTCCTTACTGGCACTGTTCGTTCAAGAAACGTATGGCAGGTTTTTAACTATTTCTTTGGTGATGAAGAGGAACACCATGAGCAGAACTCGATTCCGGACGACGATGAAGATCGCGATAAAAGAAAAAACATCAGTGAAGGAACTCCAGCTGTTAAAGAGGAGGATAATGAAATTTCGCGTGTAGATCCATATACTCAAGGAAGTAAAGGAAAATACACTGACAATCGTGTTGGCGTTATCCATACACCAAAAAACAGTTCCTGGACTGACGAAGGCTACAGAAAGTATTTGGAAGAATTGGCAAGCTATCTTGAAAACCTCAGTACTCAGGACAATGGTTTTGGTGAAGGCGCAGGCTTCGCATATACGCACTTCCAAATGTCGTTTGGTCGAGTTGATGAGTACGGCTACTTTATTGGTGAAGGTGGTGGAGCTTTTGATGATTTTGGAGATCCAGATTATGACATTGACGACGTTTACCCTGTTTTTAGTGATTATAGTGATAGTGATTATGGTCATGATGAGTTAAAATAAACTCTTTTAAAATAAAAAAATAAACTTTTTTTGCTCAAAAATGATCTCATCTTTACAGGAAATACCCTGTCTTGAGTCAGTGATAGGCCGTCCTTTCAGCACTGCTATAGTAATGAATGTTTGAGTGTGTAATTGTTCGACCACCACCGATACCAAGCTACTTCCAAGGCGATATTCCAAGACAGTACAAAACGAGAGAATAAACAGAATAACAGATGGCGAACACGATGGTTTTGACGCTGGGATCTTCGCGAGTCGACCCTTCTTCACTGGCGTGGAGGAGGAAGAATGAAACTGTTAGCGAGCCACCGGCTTCTTCCCCTGCGCTTCTTAGATCCGAAGCGCGATATCTTCCTTTTCTCATGCGTTCTTCAGAAGCTTGCATCTTGGCGTTGGCTCTGCGATCCTTACATTCCTGATGATCGCTCTGCGATATTCCCGCCGGCAACGTGGACAGGTGAGAGGAGTTTTGTGAGGCGTAGCGATAAGTAGCATAAAGCGTGGAGCGAAGCGTATACAAATGGACTCTTATGAGGCGTAGCGATGAGTAGATAAGGCGTGGAGCGAAGCGTACACAAATTGAGCCTAACCATACTTTTTCAGCGTGACTTCTCACTGCTGGCGTTCTTCGCGTAACTGACGTTCGATATTGCGTCTTCTTTCGCGGTTCCTTTCAAGTCCTTCGCGTGCTGATCGTAGCTGCTCAATGATTAATTGGCTTTGCTCGGGCAGCTCACAAATGGCTGAATGGTGTCCGTAACCACGGCAGTGGTAGCATTTCACTGCGTATTTTCGACAATAAATGTCTTCCGCGCATTCTGTGGTTAGACACATGACACAGCGAAGTTCAGCCCGCAGCAAATCTCTCCGTGTTGCTGCGTCCGCGACAATCTGGCACGAGTCTGAATAATGATTGCCGACTCGTTTACAAAACACACACTGAATGGTTTGTTCATCATTGCGTAAAATGAAGCCATGTGTGAAGCGTCTTGGTGGGCAGGTTCTTCGGTGCGAGAGCTCATCTATTAGGCGTTCGAAGTCGCGTTCCGCTTGAATGGCTTGATCTAGGTCTGCCCTAAGACGTTGCCGCCGGTGTTCAAGTCTCTCTTCGCGTTCCTCTTCCATCTCGCGTCTCTCTTCCAGTTCGCGAGGTGCTTCGTCATCGCTGTTAGCTTCCTCCACGTATTCCAGCTCTTCCTCGAGAGGAATTTCCTCATCAAGATGCTCAGCTTCTTCGTTCGGCTCCTCATTGTGAATTCCTTCAACTAGCGCCTCGTCTTCCAATTGGAGTTCATCCTCGACCATTGCGTCGTCTGCTTGGTGGACATCTTCTTGAACAGCCTTTGAAGGAATTTGAAGTTCTTCAACTGGCGCCTCGTCTTCCAATTGGAGCTCATCCTCGACCATTGCGTCGTCTGCTTGGTGAACATCTTCTTGAACAGCTTTCGAAGGCTCGTCCGTCGTGTGTCTTTCCATTCTTTCTTCTTCCTGCATCGCCAAGTTTTCACCGTCTGGACTCTCTCGATTCTCTGTGCCCTCGTCTGTCGGCTGCGATCTCTTGATAAAGGCCAGTATTTTGTCCAATTTTGCGTTGACCTTACTCATAACGGCGCTTACGACGGCATCGATGATTTCCTCCCTATGCGTTGAAGTCTCTTCTTCCGATGTTGATTGCGACCGTGTTTTCTGGACTTCCTGCAGCGTTGCGACTATATCCTGTAGGCTGGTTTCAAACTCTTCCATCTTTCTCGACGTGGATTCCTTACTTTCTACCAGGGTATTAACTGCTGCAAGGATCTGTGCCTGCCGACTGACCATCTCTGTGCGTTCCTCCTGTTGCAAGTGATTCCGAATATCTCTGAGTCGTTGGCTGATCGAAGTGACTGTGCGCAGATGGTCGTCGATGGCCAAGTTGACGATATCCTGGTCCGTCAGCAGTTCCATCCCAAGGGCGTCTCTCCTCTCGCGCGCTATCATAGCTTTCCAGGCGTCAAAAGAGATCGCGTTCGTAGCCACGAGAAAATGAGGCAATACAAAAAACATTCGAAACTGCGTTCTCAAATATAAGAGCTCTAATCTAAAGCGATCACATTCATTCTCTCTCATCTGCAATAGAGCTAGTCGATCAGACCATTCTTGCGGTGAGCCTTCGATGCGTAATACATCCCATTCCAACTGGCTGACGTCTCGCAATGTCTGATTGAGCTGTACAGCGTGATCGAGGATTTGCCTCGCAACGGCAATCGTCGCGCATTGTACAGTTCAGATTTTTAGCTGCTTCCCAAGAGTCACAATGCAAGTGTAGATATTCCTGTTCTCTCCATATCGCGAAATTTTCACCATCGGTGATGAATCGATCATTGAGTAGTGATATGGGAGGTATTGCCAAGGAGGTCATCACTATTCGAAGTGAAGGTAATTCGACTGGAACATTAGGCGTCAGCGATATAATAAAGCGTTGAAAACTTTTTTTCTTGTCCTCTCGCTCTAGCGTGACTTCCAACTTCGCCTCTTCTCGCCACCTCATGCAGCGGAAAAGTTCGTAGACTTTTGTTGACTTGGGAACTGCGTAGATTCTATAAAAAAGACATCCTGCACTTGGATAGAAGCAGTCACACCCCCATCCCCCGCAGGATTCTATACATCCAGTTCTTCCTGGTAATGCGTTCCCAGCTTCCAACTCGGGTATGAGGCTGGAGCTGTTTACATCCGCGCATTTGTTCCTTGAACAGGATCCCATGTGCGCACAACGTTTACTGTCGATTGTATTTAGTTGGACGGCACGCGTAAAGAGTAATGTCTGCCGATCACAGTGAAGCTTGATACTTTGCCATTGAATCTTGATGCTCGTGACCAGTGATGTGTTGCTAACAAGATTGAGGCACGCTTCTCTTTTCAGTGCATTTATTTTTAGCACTTCTGAAAGCGTTATCGTGCATTCTCTCACTCCATTGGTTACCGTACAGATGGTTCGCTTGTGGTCGAAAATATTCATGCGTTGGCATGTTGGCGACACCATTTTGGGAGCACAAGTAAGATTCAGGAGGATGGCCAACGCAATTGTCATTCGTGCACTTCTCGTTCTCCTTCTTTTCGAGGATAACTTGTGGATTCCCCATAGGCAGGAGTAAGCGACCGCTTTGACTCCACCCATTAGGAGCCAATGTAAGCCCCGTAGGATGAGTCTTAATGGCTTCCCAACGGTAACTGGAACGTATAAAAGCACATATACTATCGCAATGAACATGTACAGCAGGACTGCTGAGATGATGATCGCCCCTTGTGGCCAGCACTCAGGGTTCAGTAAGATCGTAGAGCAGAACCAGCAGTCTACGTTTTCACAGAAATTAAGCCCTTTACAAATTGTACTTATCGTCTCTGTATGTTCACCGTTTTTCCACTTCAACATAACCACATGGTCATGGAGTGTTATTTCTGCTGGAAAGCGTATCATTTGCGACTGGGCTCCTTGATGTTGTGTTTTGCAATAGTTGTCCGCGCAAATTTGAAATGACTCGTTTATAACCGTATGAAGAAATACTCCATTGGGCGTACAACTGAACATGATGGAATGCGAACGTTCCTGTGTTGTGGGTGAGAGTATGGTCAAGATCATGACATAGAAGAGGAACCATTTTGTGCGTGAATTCCTAATCAGAAGTGATTTCTGGTTAGTCAGAGCATTCTCAACGTACTGTTGCTGCTTGCGTGGTCGAAGGTCTTACCGGTGACGAGTCTCTTCCTTTTCGTTACTCCCTGTTTCGGTTGGTGTTTTCGAGGTTAACAGTTCTTTACCTTCTTCAATTTCCAGCGGAACAAGAAGGTTGACCGGGCGTCGAATTTTACGTTTGTTCGTTGCGAGTTCAACTTCGCGAACCTTCCCATCCAATCCCTGATGAATTTCCGTAATTCGTGCTAATTTCCACGAATTTCTAGGGAGCACCGGGTCACTCACCAACACTACCGAACCAACCGTAGGCACCTCTGTTCCTTGCCTCCTCTTTACAATGTTCTTCAGCTGTTTCTCACGTAGGCTGGTGAGATAATGTTGCTGCCATATCTTCCAAAAGCGTTCCAAGAATTTACACGATGACGTGAGCGCTTCTTCTACCTGCTTTCGTGTTTGTAAAGTTCTTAACTCGGCGGGTAGTAAGTACTCCGGATCATCGTCCGTTGACGGATTTACGCATAGTGGAAGAGTTATGACCCAGTCCTTCTGCAAGAAGTCGATTGGGCGGATCATTCCGAGTGTGTCCGGCTTGACCTCTTGATATGTTAGCGGACGCGAGTTCAGACAAGCCTCTATTTCCGCCATTATCGTCACCATTTGGTCGTAAGAACGTATGATCACCTCTCTTGCAGCTTTGTACAGCGACTGTTTGATTGACTTTATGAGACGTTCATAAAACGCGCCTTGCCATGGGGCATAAGGCGTGATGTGGTGCCACTCAATTTCAAGATCGGTAATCTCTCGAGCTATAGCGTCTTTGAGGATCTGTTCACTCAAAAGAAATGTTGGAGCGTTGTCACAAGTGATCGACTCCGGAATGCCCCTGCGCGCTATGAATCGTCTTAGCGCGTTCAAGAAATCTTCGGTGCTCATACTGGCTACCAATTCCAAATGGATTAAGCGTGTGACTGCGCAAGTAAAGATGCATCCATAGATTTTGGAACTTTTGTTTTCGTCTACCGAGGGGAGATCAAAGAAGTCGAGTCCAATGTGTTGAAAAGGCCGCCCTCTCTGAACTCTGCGTTCTGGTAAATTTATGGAGTCTGGATATTGGTATGGCAGTGCATTGAATCTCCTACAATTGACGCAGCTGTGGATCAAATGCCTCACTTGTTGGCGTAATTGTGGAATCCAATACTGCATTCTGACGTTGGCCATCGTGTGCTCCACTCCGCTGTGATAAGTACCGTGGGCTTCGCGAATAATCAGATTCGCTAGGGCCGTTTTCGGTGCTATAATTATTGGACTCTTAGCCTCTTCTTTTAGTGAT